CGCGCGGAGCCAGCAGCGTCACGGCACAGTCACACAGAGCTGCCCGGGCTGCTCTGGACACTGCCAGGGATGGGGGGCAGCCTGTGCCAGGGCCTCATCATCCTCTGAGCAAAGAAATTCTCCTAACATCTAACCTCTGGCACTGGGAGCCATTCCCTGTGTCCTGTCCCTCCATCCCTTGTCCCCAGTCCCTCTTCAGCTCTCCTGGAGCCCCTTCAGGCCCTGCAAGGGGCTCTGAGCTCTCCCTGGAGCTTCTCCTCTCCAGGTGAGCACCCCCAGCTCTCCCAGCCTGTTTATTAACAATTACTTGGTATAATAACATTTCATTAAGAGTATTTATCTCTGCTAACAGGTGAACTGTTTAAGTTACTGCAGAGACTCCCAGTGGACACCAGCCCCACCTGAACAGAGAAAACACCCCTGGCCTCGGCCACAGCGCTCACTGCTGACTTCAGCCAGTTTTAATGTCCTACAGAAAGTGCCTGCACCAGAGCAGAGTTAACAGGGCAGAGGATGTGGATGCCTCTCCCATCCTCCCCTGCCTGATGAGGACAGACCACTCAGCCAGGCAGGGCAAAACCTCCAGGAAATACAAATAATGGGAGGCACCATTCAGCCTTCATCAGCCCTGAGACAGCATAAAGACTTGTCTCATTCTCCTTTTTAATTCTTGGTGATAAAATTACTTGGCTCTGAACACTCCAAAACGCCCTTTTCAGTGCCACACAGGACACTGTCATGTTTTCCTTTGCTGTGCTTCCCATTCATTTGCACAAATCACCTTTTCTTCTTCTCTTAAATTACATTAAAATAAACAATGGAAATATACAAAGGAACCTATATTCTCTAATTGAATAATTAGATGTTATCTTTGAATACATGGCCGAAGTCTGACATCCAATAAATCCAAGACAAAGCTTCAATTAGCCCAGATAATGCCCATGAAGCCAGCATTGCTTTACAAAGATATGTAAATGTCAGCACCTTCATTTTACAGGAGAAAATGAAGTGCTGAGAGCAGACGTGGTCAGATCACATCACATCCAAGAATCCAGACCCCTTTATTCCCAGGCTAATTAGTATCTCTTGTAACATTTACATACTAACAATCATCTCTGCTGTAGCATACATCAAAAGGCAGGAAATATTACCCCCAATCCCTTGGAAAAAGCTGTGATTTGTCTATAAAACAACTGAATGTACATCCACTCTGCTTATTTGCAGTAAAAAGCTGCCCTTCTAACAAAATCACAGAATCATTAAGGTTGGCAAAGTCCTCCAAGATCATCCATGCCCAAACTTTGACTGAACACCATCTTGTCAACCAGACCACTGCACTAAGTGCTATATCCAACCATTAAAATATACCTCTAAAGAGGTAAAGAAATAGAAATGGAGACCTGAAAAGATTTTTTAAAATTAAGAGAACTCTTTCTTGGGGAAAAAAAAAAAATCAGTTGAGTTTTAGACAACAACCAAAAAACATTTCAATTATTATCCTTGGCACTCAAAAGTGAAAAAAAAAAAAGTCCAAGATTTTTTAAGTCTTTATCTGCTTTCAACAGACAGAGTTAACTGAGCACAAGGAGCTGCCCCACATTAAAAACAAATTTGGGAGGAAAAGAAAGTGGTTAGTCAGGAGGGATTATAATGGCAGTCTGGTTCATCAAACAAACAGCAAATTCCCCATCCTGCAAAATGCTGGGGAATTCTCCCAGAGGAAGTGCAGGCTCTCTGCTTTCACCCACTGGGGTTGGTGGTGAGAAGCAGCAGCTCCCAGCAGGGAAGGCTCAACCTCTGGAGGCAGCCAAGGTGAGCACAGCCCGTGGATTCCAACGCAGAGCACAGCCAGCAAGGTGCAAATGCACACTCCATTCACCAGTGGGCTTGGAGAGACTTGCAAAAATAACTTCACCAAAAAAATCCCTCCTCCATGGAACTCTCAGAGCTCACAGCTCCTATTTCCCAATAACAAACTGTCAGTGCCTTCTGTTGTGGGTTGCAAAAATAAAAAGCTCAGAGCTGCAGGGACTGCATCCTGCCAGGAGTCCCAGCCTGGCACATTGGGTTACACAGGAAAAGCCTCTGAGGGCCTTGGACCTGTGTCTGGGGTTTGAGGAATGTGCAATTAAATCAGCTGCTCCTAAAAGTGGCAGAAGGGTGGAGGCTGACAATAATAAACTCATTTGAAAGCAGTGTCTTCCCCCCAGCTCTACCAGATACCAAATTAGAAACAGTTCTGGCAGCATTTTGTCTGCTGTTTGTGAGGCAAAAGGGAAGAGACTTGCTACAATTCAGCTGACAGGTTTTTGCATTTATCCCAGGTTCAACCACGGGCAAGTCTGTGGTGTGGGGAACATCCCTGCACTGGCTTCAGCTGACAAGAAACAAAAGGCCCAAGCAAGCATGGTGCTGAAGGCTCTTCATTCACAAAAACTCTTATTTCTCCATAAAAATATCTCCTTTGGACTGATAAGACTCTCAGACAAACTATCATAAGCAGCTGCTGTTGGCAGCCATCAGAGAATCGGTGTTGACCTTTCCTGGACCAGAATTCTCACCACAGCGAGCAAGATGAGAGAGCACATCTGCACAACCACTGGAGTCACAGAACCAGGGAATATCCTGAGCTGGATATTATCCAGTCCAGCTCCTGGCCCTGCACAGGACAGCCCCAACAATTCCACCCTGTGCCTGACAGCATCAGCCAAATAATTCTCGAACTCTGGCAGGCTGGAGCCCCCCAGTCCCAACCAGCTGCCATCGTGGAGATACTGAAACTCAAATACACAACATTTTAGCAGGAATTTCCTCTTCACTCCCACACTACATGCCCTACTTTAGGCTTTTAAACCAGTGTGGCTACACAAAACTGAACTTTTCCAGAGCAAACACAGCTTCACACAATGATGCTTCCCCTCTGCATAATGCTGATTATCAAAGCAGGCCAGGCAGGCACAGCAGATCCTGACGGATGCCTCGGGGAGAGAAATTAACCCAAAATTCAGACAAGAGAACCTCTGTCGTATTACACAGCCTGAGGATACAGACTCATGACTTCACTAAATAGTCTGTAGGAAAAGTCTATCTCCTACAAACCATCACCCCATGTTAATCAGGCTTCTGCAGAGCATCTCTGCTCAGCACCCAATTTCATGTGACAAACTGGGAGCTTATCACAGCAGCCATCACACAATGCAGTTTGATAGGAAAAGCTCAGAGCCTACTTCCAGCTGGCATGACCTTTTCCAGCATTTTTATAGATTCTTGCATATATTTACTAGCAAACACAAGGGCAACAGGATAATGAGAGCTACTGATAATACCATGACCAACAAGTCTGATCCTGTATCAAAAATTACATGTGAAGATCAACAGGACCAAAGCTTTGAGCTTGAACACTTGGCTGGTGGCAGAATGGAAAAAGCTCAGGAATAGGAGGAAAAAGTAGAAGAGACAATTCAGAGTGAAAGGAGGTGATACAAGGAAAAACTGACCAAAAATATGGCTGGGTGAGCCTGGAGAGGTTCACAGAAGACACTTCAATTTATGAGAGCAGAAAGGCAATTCCAAGATGAACCCACAGGTGAGACAAGGGAGGCACATGGATATCCAATGGGAGTGCATTCCTCAGCTGTCCAGTGCTGCAGGGAAGTGGAGTCAATGACCCTGAGTGCTCCACACACCAGCTAATAGCAGGGGACCCTCCCTATTCTAATGCTGGATTATGCAAAGGACCATCCAGAACTGCCAAGTCAGGGCTTTGCATTATCACTGCACAGCCCAGCAGAGCCACTGAGATAAGGCATTAGTCTGGGCAGCAGCTCTCATTAACCCTTCTCTCATTAACCCTTCTCTCATTAACCCTTCTCTCATTAACCCTGCTCCCTGCTCAGTGCCCACCACGCTGGGCACCAGATGACAGAGCAGCCTTCTGCTGTCCCTGTGCTCCCAGGAAATGACAGGAATTCCAGCCCTCCTCCATCCCCAGCGCCTCTGGCACAGCCAGATCTCCTCAGAGATTAAGTCTGTGCTGCAGTGAAGTCACTGCCCTGAGCTAGAGATCAGCCTGGAGATCCCTTTTGAGGTGACACTCAGCTCCCAGGACACCTTTGTGCTCCACAGGAGGCAGCTTTAACAGGTTACATTGGACATGAAGCAGAGGGAATTCCCATGAACTCATTCCCACAAGGAACCAAGGAAACACTACAGGACCCCACTCCAAAGAGAAGAACTCTTGTAAACTCACACCACTTGCACAGACTATCAAATTCAGGGCACATTTCCAGCCCTGCCTGACCTAACCACCCCTTTCTGAAGAAAACAAGATGCTCTAATATTTGTTTTCCAAGTTGACTGCAGCAAAAAGAACCGCCATGACCTGAAGTGAGACCCCAAATCAAATATTTCCAGCCTGAAAAAGTTTGCTGCACTCTTAAAATGTTTACCACAATAAATCTGGAAGGTTCCTGGTAGGCCATGCAAGAAAGTCTGACTTCAGAAAGGGTGACTGTGACAATGCAGCTCTTCAAAGTGGGCTGTAAACTTGTAAGTAAATATACATTCCTGAGGAATAGCCACACTCAACTTGCACAATAATATTTCAAATACTTCAGAAGAGTAGATGAGTCGCTGTGGTCCTGCTCTCCAGAGCGACAAGGACAGGAAAACAGCAACCTGAAGTGCAGGATCTTGCAAAGAGCTCTCCATGCAGAGAACCACAAAAACACAGAATTTAATCCCCAGTCCAGGCTGGATTAAAACAACTAATATCTGTTCAAGAAAGCTCCTTATCCTACAAAGATTCTGCAGAAACAGCATTCCCAGCAACACCAACTGATTTGCAACACAGAAATCCCCAAAATTAGTGGCTTTTGCATGGAATGTTGTCCTTGGTGTTATCAGAGCCACTTACATCAGCAACCTGTCAGCACTCCTCCCAAATGGTAAAATGAGTATGGACAGCAGCCTGAGCAAGCCCTGCTGCAGGCATGACTTACAGAGGTGTGATGAGAGACGCTGCCTCCAATGTTGAGGTTCTTGAGGAGCTGTGGGGAGCCTCCATACTGCCCCGAGATCTGCTTCCTGACCTCGGCTGCCACGGTCCTGCAACAACACAGGGACAGGGTTATCTCTGAGAGGGGATGGATCACACACACCTGCCTGTGCTGCTGGAATGAAACCAGGCACTGCTCGCTGCCACCAGGGTGTCACTGCCCGCCGGGAACAGATCCTGCATAATAAATTCCCAGGAATCGCAAAGCTCTCACAAGGCTGCAGATACGTATTTTTAACAGCAATTAGAGGGGTTTTTTTCTTCCCTTTTTGTGAACTGCTCTTCTGTGCACATCTGTGGCAATAAAATGCACGTGACCCTGAGCACAAATTAACTTGTTCCCAGCAGGCTCTTCCAAGGAAAGCTCTTCTCCAGAGTTCTCCTCTCCCTTCAGCAGTTCCTGGTCACACAGCTGCTTCTGTACTCTGCAGTTTCATCCCTCGGCCTATTTTTGGGGTTTGCAGTCACAGCCAGACAAAGGACCAGGAAACAAATGACTGGGTCAGAACAAAAAGGTGCTTCCCTTCCCATGTAGGAAAGGTAAAGGTGACAAGCAGAGGAAACACTGGCACAGAGCCCTGTGTCTCTGCCACAGAGGAATTCCAACACTGGGTAATTTTCTCACCAGGCATGGAAAGCACAGAGCAGCCCCTCCATGCCTGGAGGGTGAAAGCTGTGACCCTCCACAGTTTTTAATTTTGGCTAAAGAGCCACATTGTCTCTGGTAAGGCTGAAAACACAACAGGCAGGTAAAGCCACCTGGAGGGGGAAGGAAGAGCACAACAGAGAGGGAAATGCTGATGGCCAGGGGCTGTCTAAACAAAGAGCCACAGGTCCAGCCCTACCACAGCCATCCCCAGCTCTCCATCCTGTATCCCAGCAGGAAGCTGCAGCTCCTCTCAGCAGGGATAGCCAAGCCTCTGAAATGTGTGGAAATGGTCTTGTTCCAAAAGCAAACCAAAACCCAGATTTCTTCCCCAAAAAAAGTTGTGTAGCTGAAAAGCTGCTGAGTACCCCTGGCCTACAGCATCTCACCAACACAAACGCTCCTCTCCAGGAGTCAACACCCAATTTATTAGGGACAAACCCACCCCAAGTGCCATCCACCACATCACAGCACTGCTGGCAGCTCTGGCTCCCAGAGCAAATTCCCAGCTCCAAGGAGACACTAACCAGCCCATAAGGCAGATGAAGAGGCTGCAAGAACAGGGATGATTTTTTTTCTGCTGTGTCAGTGATCTTTGAGCATCCTCATGGCTAAGAGACTCCTCATCTCAGCAGGGGACTGTGCTGTTTATCAGCACAGCACACAAAGCTGCTAAAATCCTGTCAAGGAGATGGTTAAACCTGTCCTGAGCTAAACCTGGACGTCAGGATGGGCTCCTGAATCCCAAATCCTGGCTTTGGGATTGCTGGTGGGAGGAATGAAGGCAGCTGGAGGCAACTGCTGTCAGTGGAAGAGAAGGAAACTAAGAGGGAACTGGCTGGGACAATTGAGGCTACCATGGAGAGCAGATGTTTCCTCAGGCCAGAGGATGGATGTAAGATTAGCTAGAGGAAGCATTATTTTGTCTTTTTGAAAAAGTAGACTGCAGGAGGGAAAAAAAATAAAGTTTTATGTATTCTGGCTGCAAGAAGTAATTTCCTTCATGTTTGCCTTTATCCACAGGAGCTGATGTTTTCACTTCTGGAGGGTGGCTTCTGTCCTGCTGGGGACAGGGAACATCCAGGAGAAGCCACGTCCCTGCTCCCACCACGTGTGCACGCACATTCACACGCGACAGCAAACCACACGTGCTGCTGGCTTTTGCTGGGAAATTTGGAATGGATTAAAATGGCTGCTTGGCATGGAAAACACACCATGGAGCTGTGGCTGAGGATGGAAAAGCTCATCCCCAGGATGCAGACGGGCTCTGCTTCAAACCAGGCTCTCACTCAGTGTGTTTTGTGTCACTCCTGATGAGGCACAGAGAGAGCCCTGGCATGAAAGCTCAAGAGCCCAGCACAATGCAGGAAGAACTAAAAACCCTTCCCCATTTTCAAGAGGCACTTGTTTCCAGGTGGAAAGTACAGCCAGAGGAGAGAACTTGTCCTCAGCTGTGGAAGCACAGCCGTGCCTGGCTCCGCCTGAATCCGTGGATCCTCAGGAACCCAAGGCATCTCCGTGGTCCAGCAGGAATGGGGTGCCACAAAAGAGATCAGCCCTGCTGCTGCACCATTAATAACCTCACTGGATTTTGAAAATTCCCCCAAAGCAGGACAACAGCAAGTCAGAACTGAACCTTCACTGGGTTTCACCAAGAAACCAGCATTACTCTCAAGTCTGAAGCACTCCTGCCTCTCCAGCTTTCACAAGCACCCACCAAAACTCTTCCCATGTGAAGTAAAAGGATACTGTCTAAACCTCAGAATCCCCAAGTGGAGTGTGCTCAGGAATTATTTATCCCAAGCCTGCAGCCCAACCCACAGCTCAGGCTGTCTCCTTTCTGTATCACTGCATGCACAGAGGTTTTGGACACCACTTCCCCACCAGAACGCATCGTGCCTCTGACACTCAGAAACCATCACCTAATGTAACCTGACCTCCAGATGTATTTATGGGTAATCTACACTCCTTTGGGTTTGTGGCAGCATGATCAGGTTCAAGAGTCCACTCCCACTCCTTTCTACCTGCCAGGGGTCCCCTTCCAGCCTTTGGGCTCCCTTGGTCATCCAATGGCTTTTCTAGAGTTGTTCCAGTTGGGAATCAGACCTTTCAGCAGATGTGCTTCATCCTGATCACTGACTCCAGAGAAGGAGTAGAACCTTTGGAGAACCAAATGAGTATTTCCACACTGAGAAAATATCTCAGCTGACTTATTTTAGGGCTGCTTCCTCACTGTTTCCTCCCAGAGGTTCCCAGTTTCCCTAAAACAAATAGCACCTGGTCTAGTGAAGGTGTCCCTGACCACAGAATGACCTTTAAGGTCCCTTCCACCACAAACCATTCCATCACTCTGTGGAGACACTTGCCTTCTCCTCCTCCATTCCCAGAGGCTGTTTGTCCATGGCAAACTGCTCACGACCAGCAGTTCATGCTGCACTATAACCCTGAGCACTATTTCTAACCCAAATCAATGCTGGTGTTACACCAAACCCCAGCAAGAAAAGACAAATAAATATTCTCCAAATGTAAAAAAAAAAAAAAAAAAAAAAAAAAAA